ATGATATTGTTGTTGATGATGATGTTGTTGGTGATGATAATGATTTTGTAATGATGATGATGATGATGATGTTGTTGTGGATGATGATAATTTTGTTGTTGCAGTTACTGACGATGCATCCAACTAATGATGAGATCCAACTTCAAATTTCACCCCCCCACTCAATCGTAGCACTTATAAAATATTCAAGAAAAAAAACAACAACATAAAAATGAAAAAAAAACATGAAAAAAGTACACAACAAAAACAAAGCCAAAGACCAAAAAATATGAAACAAATTCTGACTGGGCCAATTTCTCATCGCTACCTAGCTTTACTTCAAAGCCGTTACGCTTGTGCCTGCACAAAACGATAGTGGGACATAAATATCACCGTAAGCTTATTTATCACATCTACATATACGGCCATAAAATGATCATGTATATAACTATAACCATATATGTATATCTAGATGAATGTAAGAGTAGAGGTCTGGCCAAAAGAATGGGAGAGGCTTAGAGGTTTAAACTTCCCAGAAGGGAAAAATTTAGTTATGATTTGGATAAAACTAAAATTATATGTCTAAATTGCGACTGAAAACTGTTTTAGCCAATCCTAAAGCTGTAAAGCTTTCGTGAAAAGATGGAAAGCACTCTTTTTTAATTGAAAAAACTGCGTATGAAATGTGATATAGAAAAACATACATTAACACATACATACATTAACACATACATACATTAACACATACATACATTAACACATACACATACATTAACACATACATACATTAACACATACGAACATTAACACATACATACATTAACACATACACATACATTAACACATACATACATTAACACATACGAAACGAAACGAAATTTTATTTGCTCCTCAAAATTAAAGATAATAAATAAGAGACAGGATGAATGTGATCGAGCCCATAATGGGCTCATTTAGCACAGCCACTTAGACAAATATGTTCAGATTTTTGTGGTTAATATCAAATATTGTTAGTTGTTAGTATGTTAGTTGTTAGTAGGTTAATATCAAATATTGTTAGTATGTTAATAACAGATAATAAAACAAAAGGTAGTTAACTAAAAAATAATGTTTCATAGATAATTATAATCGCATTAAAAATATCAACAGAAATTGTTTATAGATAGAGAACATAAATTTCATGAAGTAAATACATTTCTTATATAATTTATTAAATGTTCAGTGATTTTACAAACATCTCTACATTATTAATAAGGTTAATAATTTTAATAATTGTTAATTATTAAAAACGATTTAACTTTTTTTTAAAAATCAGTAGCCGATTTCGCCTTATATTGAAAACCATTCTTAATAATGTTATTCCAGGTCCTAGGACCCTTACAGATTACATGCGAATGTAAAATGTTAGTTTTTGATTTATTCGATTGCAAATAATTAGACATCCTATGACTGTTAGCATGTTTAAAATAATTAGCAAACGTATTAGGCAATTGATTATTAAGCTGCTTATACACAAAAATCAAAGTACGATAAATATTCAATTGATTAAAATTAAGATTATTGGTTGTCGTAAATAACTCCTTGGTATGAGACCTCATCGTTGACATGGTGATGGTTCTGACGGCCCTTTTCATCATAAGTTTAACCGGATCCGTGACTGAAGGAGACGTGCCAGCCCAGACAATGTTGCAATAAATCACGTGTGGCATGAAAAGTGAGTGATACAACAAATTCAGACACTTTTTTGTGAGGTAGAATTTCACCTTGTTCATCAGACCAGTTGATTTGGCAAGTTTGTTTGCAACACTATTAACGTGATCACGGAACGTTAACTTTTGATCTAGATGAACGCCCAGAAATTTATTTTCGTAGATATCGATACATTAACACGTACATACATTAACACATACATACATACATACATTACATACATACATAAACACACATACAGACAAACACTCTCACACATACAAACATACATACAAACATACATACTGATATTATTTACAAATTTATATGCCAAGTAGGACATTAAACCTTTGATTAAGCCTTAAAAACGAGAAACTTACACACTATGGAGGCCATCTCCTTTCGTATTATCCATTTTACGACGGAGAAAATATTTTTTCATTTTGTTTTTTGTATTTTTTTATAGATAGATATAAACTTCAGTTTATATCTATCTATCTATCCATGCATTCATTCATCCATCCATACATGCAGGCATGCATACATACAAACTTATACACATTCATTTTACAAACCGTTTCTATTTTTTTTTTTTTTTTTTTTTTTTGAAAACCTAGTTGATGAAAATTTTGTTTTAAATGTTTTTTTTCGTTTGTTTGAACATTTTTCAATAAAATTTTATGTATTTTCTGTATAAAAAGTTTTTTTATGTTTTTCCGGCTCATTTTGTTTTTCCGATGAGGATGTGTTTTTTGTTTTTGAATCGGCGGCAGTCTTAATTTTCATTTCAATGTCCGGCTTATTT